GAGAGGCAGGCAGCAGAACCACAGAGCTAAATCCCCGGCCCCTAAATTTCTAATTTTCACTCAGCAATAAACCATTTTTAACAAATACTACTCAGTATTTATTTATGGTACCAGGGATTGAACTCAGGACCTTGCATTTGTGAGGTAGGCATGGCACCACTGAGCTAAATCCCTGCCCTCTTAATAGCAATCTTTATACTACTACCTTAATTCAGACCCTTACAATCACAGATGCAAAACCTACTCACTAACCACTTAACATTTTACCTCTTTGTGTACTATTTTGAATGTCCCTTGGGCAGGTATCACTTTTGTTTGCAGGAGATATACGCCTATGTCTATTGGTTTTATTTTATTTTATTTTATTTTTTTGGTACCAGGGATTGAACTCAGGTCTTTGTGCTTGCAATGCAGGCGGTGGAACCACTGAGCTAAATCCCCAGCCTCTATTTGTTTTATATCAACAATTTTTTGCACAGTTTTTATTTAGGATGTTGTATTTGCCTTTGATGTTTATTTCCAGTGAAATCTAATAAAAAGTTCTGGTTATTTTCTCTAAGTTGTATTTATTTTGTGAAAAATGACCTATAATTTTGTGCTACAATCTATAAAAATTCTTATTGTAAGTGCATTAGATATAATTTTTGCATTTCTCCAGAACTCTTTTTTTTCTCTAGATACTCTTTTACAGTACAAAATGGACACATCTGGGCTAGGAGTGATGGCACACACCTTTAATCCCAGCACTCAGGAGGCTGAGGCAGGAGGATTGCAGCCAGTTCCAAGCCATAGTGAGTTCAAGGTCAGCCTGAACTACAGAGCCAGACTTTGTCTCAAAAAACAAACAAACAAATAAACCAAACAAACAAAAAAACAAAACAAAATAAAACAAAACAAAAGGGATACACTTGGGACACTGAATGGGAAGGAAGTGCCAATAGGTCTGCCAAAGAAAAAAAAATCTGAAAAAGGGAAAAATGTTATCATACCAGAGAGGAAAAAATCTTCGTTATAAAATGGAAAGACCAAAAAGACATCTTATTGTTAACTATTCATAATACAGAAATGATAGAAATGGAAGGAAGAAGTGAAACAAAAAATTAATAGTGGTGAACGACTGTAATCCTATAGGGATGCTGACAGAGGTGACCAACATCTAACAAGCTACCCTGCAATCAGAAAGCACATACCGGGGATTTAGCTCAGTGGTGCTGCTGCTGGCCTTGGCAGCACAAGGTCAAGTTCTATCCCCCGTACCAAAAAACAAACAAACACATACACACACCCCTTCTGGACCAAACAATATGACAATATCCAAATAATATGACAATATGAGACCCGTCTATTATTTATTTTTTTTAAAAAAAAAGGTTCAAAAAGTCATTTACAATTTAGAGTAGGCCTAACATATCAAATAACTAAAAAATACAGGATAACAAAATGCCAACCAGGACACCCATCATCAACGTTCTGACCATTACACTCAGTGGGTAGACATGTTATTGAAATTACCCCACCCAACAAAAAAGGAAAGGCCAACATGACAGTGTAAAGTGTGTTGTTCAAAGACAATACTGCAAAAAGCATTAAGAGACTAGATACTACTGTCCAGGTTGTAAAGTTATATATGGAATGTTTTAAGATATAACCATACACATAAAAATTACTGAATAAATTTGGTAAAACTGTCATTTGCTGTTATATTATCTTATAAAAACTAATGAAAACAGCCGGGCGTGGTGGCGCACGCCTGTAATCCCAGCACTCAAGGCTGAGGCGGGAGGATCGCTGTGAGTTCAAGACCAACCTGGGCTACACAGTGAGTTCCAGTTCAGTCTCAACTACACAGTGAGACCCTGTCTCAAAAAACCAAAAACCAAACCAAACCAAAACAAAAAACAAAAAACAAAAAACAAACCAAAAAAAAAAAAACCCCCCAAAGCTAATGGAAACATGCAATTTTTGGTCATCTTGTATTTAAATAACTGGACTGGTAAGTGGTTAACCATAAATACTGTTACCAGCTGAATATACCTAAGTGGCCATCCTACCATGGCCAATCAAACTTGTCTAGGGTTTTCTCTTTTGTGTGCCAGAGTATGTTCATTTGTTTCATCTCAATATCAGTTTCTCTCCCTTCCAAATTTGACCTTGCCACTTCTACTTAATGAATTACCATCCTATACTTGTGTCCAATTAAACCAACCTTTTCTAGCTATCCAATAAGGATAAACTTTGTCCTCTGAATACCTTCTACTTAACTACCTTACGTTACCAGACAGCTTCTGTTTGCTGTTCCCTACTCAGACTGTGAAGGTAAGAGCATCATGCATTTCTCTATTCCCACCAACATCTATCAGCAGAACGCACTCTGCCTTCTCAATGGCCCTGTGTATCCTCTACTGGAAACTTGCATCAACAAAGCACCAACATTCACTTCCAGATAAAGACCTAGAAAAGATGGAAAAGATCCAGAAACCTGCTTTATAGACCTGAGTATTCTACCTTTATCATATATAGTTTCTAGACAAAGTTCTATATCTAAGGCTTACTCAAGTGACAGGGCAAGGTAATTAGTATCATGGCTTAAGATGCAATTATTCTCTGGGCAAAAAAATCATGCTTGTCAAAGTGCCTAAGATGTGGCTTGAGAGGGAAACAAAAACATGATAAAATATACAAAGATGCTTAAGTAAATTTAAGATACATTGCCTTTTTTGAGACAGGGTCTTCCTATATAGTCAGTACTGGCCTTGAACCTGTGATCCTCATGCTTCCGCATCCCAATGCCGTGACTACAGATGTGCACCATCATGTCCAGCTAGTAAGGTGCAGCTTACCAAAATAACTGAAATGGGTTACTCTGGCTGAACCAAGATAAAGGTTACAGTCCTAAGTTCAACATGCAAGATAGCAAGAAAGAACACTGGCCACGAGTTAATAGCATTTACTATTGGTCAGTAAGCCAAACCGAACAGACCAAAAAAAAAAAAAGTAGAAGCTGCTCTGCACTGAAGACCAATAGCAACTGAAACGAAGTCTTGGTTTCAAATCTTAATTAAAAAATTGTATGAAATCACAAAGCTCCTTTGGAGCCTTCATCTATAAATGGGACTGTCACTATCTGCCTGGTAGTTCCTGAGGATTAGAAAAACTATCGGGGAGTAAAAACACAAATTTTGAAGCCAGATGGTCCGGGTTAGAACTGACATAGTTTAGGTACTTAGGTCTGAGGTTTCTCATTTGTAAAAGAGGTATGATGCCACCTCAGAGCTGTTGCGAGGATGAATGTTTGTTACTTTTTAGCAATTGTCTATGAAGTCTTAAAAATATACCTACCAAGGTGCTCAATAATTTCCTACTAGATATAGGTACACCCTCACTTTGCATGCTGCTTGTGTTATATTTAATAAACATTAACTATTACAATTATTTTCCACTACAAGACATTTCAAAACGATTATAAGCTTTAATTTTGTATTAATTATATCCAATCTATATATATGTTAATCATAGTTCATTAGTTATTAGTTCATTAGTTACAAGATTTTCTGGATAATTCAGAGTAGAAGGATTAAGTTCAAAATGCTAAGAGAAAAAGTTTAGCAACAAGGAAATAAATGGGATACCTGTTAATCTATATTAGGCATATTGTCTATTTATAAACTTACAGTCCTTAAATTACAAGCTTATTTTTTGAAAAAAGTCATTTGTTATTTACTTTTTTGCCAAAGGCAAAGTCATACATAAGTTTAATTCTTTCCCACAACTACCCTTCATTTTAAACCATTCTACCTGCAGCTGTCTTGGCTCTAGATCAATTTCATTGGGCGGGACAGATCTTATCAGTTCTCCAAAGATATTTCAAAACTGCAAGCACTGAAAAACTGTAGCAGCCATTTCACACCATTATTCCATAGGGTGAGAGTATGCTCTGGTTTCTAGAAATCACTTACCCTCTCTGGTTGTCCCCACCCCTCAAAGAGGTTATACATACCCAGAGTGAAAAAGAAAGCGGGCGGTGGTAATTCAATGTACAAAAAAGGGAATTCAACAAAACTCTCTGCACAATAGGAGGAACCAAAGTTGAATTTGCTTAAGGGGCAAGTGATGCATACCTGTAGTCCTAGCACTCTGGGAAGCTCAGGCAGAGGGATTGCAAATTTGAACCCAGCCCAGGCAACTGAGAGACTGTCTCAAAAAAAAAAAAAAAAAAAAGGGCTGGGGATGTAGTTCAGAGGGAAGGTCCTCATTTCAATTCCCAGTACAAAAAAAACTTGTTTATTTTGACAAGTTAAAATTTAAAAATGGATCAATTATAATAGCAATTGGAAAATTAAAAAAAGAACACAATATTATTTATGGGATATAACAGATTGTGTTATTTGGGAAAATTCACATCTAAAACGAAGTGCTCATTCAAACCTTCTAATAATGAGAATTTTTCTATGTAAAAGTCCAAAACTGCCTAAAAAGTAATTAGGTCTCCATCACAACAGAAATCTATTTTAACATTTAATAGCAATCAGGGGCTGGAGATTTAGTTCAGTGGTTCCATGCCTGCCTTGGAAGAGCAAGGGGTCCTGAGTTCGATCCCCAGTACCGGAAAAAACCAAAAACCCCAAAACATTTAACAGTAATGGATAATTCTGCTATACTCTTAAGACTACAGGCATCAACAAAGGTAACATAGTTCTACTTTTGAATGAAGTAAGTTATATATAAAAATCTGGAACCTTACTCATACAAAAGATGTCCAAGTCATAAATAATTTGCTTTTGGCATATGAACAGTTTCTAGTACCATACCCATGTTTATACTTGGTGATACATCCTTCCTCTAAAAAAACAAAAAACAACTTACTTAAAACTTTCATCCACTATTATCAATTCAAGTTTTCCTTTGAATATATATGTGTACACACACACACACACACACACACACACTCTTGTGAAACAGAACAGTGTAATATTTTTATGCCACTCTCTTTACCAACTTACCTTCTCATTTTTTTTGTCTGCTTCTGGTGGCTGCTTTGCGGTCATACTTCGAGGAGTTCGAACAACTTCATCCTCAGCCACTTCAACAGTCCGTCCATTTGGCTACATTGGCAATGAGAAAGCATCATATTATCAAACTGGCTGGCGGATCAAACCAGATTTATACTCAGGAACCAATATATGAATCAAATTCTATCCCCAATGGACACTAACAAGGTTGTTTTTGTATAGCAACATTATCTAAGAAGACTCGATGGATTGACCTATGTGTTTTGTAATATAAATATAATGACCTATGAACAAAATTGTTTTTTTGTTTGTCTGTTTGTCTTTTTTTATTTTTTTGACTTGGTCTCACCATGTAGTTCAGACTGCTCAGGAACTTACTATATAGCCCAGGCTGGTCTCAACTCCAGTGATCCTCTTGCCTCAGCCTCCCAAGTGCTGGGATTACAGGCGTGTGCCACTATGCCCAGCTTAAACAAAATTCTGTACCACAAATATTCTGATCTCACCTAGATACCAGTCTTTCTAACAAGGACAAAAGAATATACTTGATCTTAGCCAAAAGGCCAAGAAGCGATAAGGACACAGAACACAGTCAGGTGAAAGGAAATCTGAATTGTATTTGTACTATGACTACCAACTAGTTATGTAATCTCAAATCATTTTACTATCTCAAGACATTTCTGCATCTGTAAAATGACAGGTTTTTTTTTTTTTTTTTTTTTTTTTTTTTT